GAGGTGGGCGGGCTCGGTGCCACTTGCTTATTCACTTCGGGGTAATTGAAGCTTGCTGTGGGCGATCCAGAAAGTGGGTAATTGCTCCCTCTGAGAGGTGGCAGGCCCATTCCTGCACCACATAACAATAAGCTCATGTTGGGAATAATAGCAACAAATTAAAAAGAGAGCAAGAGTCAATTTGTTTGTCACTTTTATGGGAAGAAAAGAAAGCGGGGGGGGGAGGAAATGCGGTTTTTAAATTGCTCATCAGGTCTGTGCTGGGTCCAGAAAGAGAACAGAACCAGCCCTGCACAGATTATTATAATTTTTTTTTTCAAGTATGTGGGCTGAGTACGGTCGCTGCACCAGGAAGCCAGAAAATGAACAGGCGCTAAATATTGTGGGGTCAACTGGAAGATTTGGAGGGGGTGCTTGGAAAATCAATGCCGATGATTCATATTCCCGTCTCCCGCCCAGAGCATTTCATATTTCATCTCGTTTAGCCGGGTGGTGAGCCGCTGTTAATTGCATCCACAAAACACTTCAGACGGAACCGAAGACAAATTGGAAACAGAGACTGACATGAAAAAGTGCAAAGGCCCCCGTCGGTTCGCATCAGAGTTTCTGCTTCTTGCCCTCCGCAGAATTCTTCGTTCCCCTCCCCTTTTCCGTTAGAAACAAAATCACCCTGGGCCGATGAAGCAGTAGAGTTTTTTCTTTCTCTCTCCTCGCCTGGAAAATCCCTAAGGACTCCCTCTTATTATGGGGTGGGCAGGGAGTGGGGGGGATAAGCAGGAGAGGTTTTGACCCGGACCCACCAGTACGTTTGGCAGAGAGACGCTTTGGGGACAGAGCAAGGCGCTGGCCAAAGGGGAGCCCTCCCAGTTTGCAGCCTGGCCGAAACGTGGAGAGAAAACTGATTTAGGGGTTCCCATTCGCCCATCTCTGGAGGATCAGCCATCTGTGGGACCAGCAGGGAAGATGGGGTACTTGGTCCTCTCGGTCAGAGGGCAGAGCCCTCCCGGGTGTGAGCGTTCTGGTAGAAATGTAGAGCCTTGCTGTGATTTTATTATTTATTGTGATTTATTTAAATTGATTGGCCGCTGGACTCTGCAGGAGTGACAGCAGTGTTTCTCCACCTTGGCGACTTGAAGACGGGTGGACTTCAACTCCCAGAATTCCCCAGCCAGCACAGCTGGCTGGGGAATTCTGGAAGTTGAAGTCCACTCATCTTAAAGTTGTTAAAGTTGAGAAACACTCTTCTAGCTTTTATCAATAGAGTTCCAGTATTTCTTGGATATAGGAAGACCAGAGCAGGTCTGAACTTCTAGGCAGACTATTTCTGCTCTGATCTACCTAGAAGGGCTGACAACCAGAAGGTCACTGCTATGGACATTAAAGGAAGGCTTGCACAAGATAATTTCATGGCAAACTCTCCTGCTCTAAATGGCAGCCATCGCCTACAGCTCAAGAAAACTAATCCACATATGACTTCTGAACACCAGACAACATGCTTCTGCTCTTTATAAATAAAATAGCTTCTGCTCTTTACAAGCAAAGAATGAAGCACAGAAAATTAAACCAAAAAAGAGGAGCTTAAAATAGAGTAATTGCAGGTAAACTGAATATTACAGTACTTTAGAAGCATTTTACGTGGCAGGAATTTCAAATAGGAAAAGAAATAGCAGGGGGGTGGGGAGGCATGCCACTTTTTCAGGAGGTAGGCATCATGCAAAATGGTATGCGCCCCAAAAATATTTAAAAATAAATAAATCTTGAATTCTCAAAAGTCTGCCAAATCTGAGTTTTCCACAATCTCTTAGGAGATCTTGTGTGATTTGATGTTGTAAGATTTACGCTATTTGAAAAACTGAAGCCATTTGTGGGGCAACGGTCTGTAAGTGCTGTCTTTGAGTCTTGTAGAGGGTTTGGTGCTTAATAGCAATAGACTATAATCAGGCTGCTGCTGTTAAACAGCAACTTAGCATGGGAATGAGAAAGTGCATCTTCCATTACTAGCAATATTACAGAAACGATTCAATAACTGTTTGTGACAATAGGTGATCCATTACCTAGAAAGCCTTCCAAATAACAATAATCTAAATTATTAAAAAGGGGGGAAATCCCTAGAAATAAATTGTACTTTGATCATCAAAGTTGTTCACTTTCCCTTAGCAGAAAATATTGGAAATGACTTGGACCCTAGACAAGTAACAAGCATGATTCTCAATTCACATTGTATTTGCCTCCAATAACTGTAGGAGAGCATGCTGTCAGCCACATCAAAACTCTATATACTGCTTTTCTTTTTCTTTTTCTTTTTCTTTTATTAAACAAACTTATATGGTCACCCATCTACAGAAGGAACTCTGGGTGGTGAACAAGAATAAAACACAAGATATAATTACAAACAAACAAAAAGCAACATTAAGTCCACAATCAAATTTGCATCCACCGTATTGTTTATGCCATAGCTTATCCTGTGTATGCAATTAACCCATTTTTGGACAATACTGAATCATAAACTAACCAGTCTCCTCAGTGCAACTACGAAACCGTAACAAAACTAACCAGTCTTAAAAAAAAAAAGCAAGCTTGGCATGTTGTATGAATACGGCTGCTGGGTCTAACAAATCTGGTTAAGCATAGTGCGCTGTGTAGCCACAGAGCATACACTAAGCCCTGCTCCCACCTACTTATTCTCATTCTCTCTCTTTCTCTCTCATACACACACAGACATGCACACAGACACACATATATACAGATACACAAACCAAGTTCCAAAACACACCCACAGTCCCCACCCCCTTACTAGAATAACTGCAAGCAAGACACAAAAATGTACCACATGTTGGCCTTTCAGGCAATGAACCCCATTTCCCCAGGGGCAGACTTCGCAATTGCCCTGTTGCAGCAACTTCTGCAGTATCAGCCAACTTCAGGGAACTTGCTGATCATCCCCAGCCAGATCAAGCTGTTGTAGTGCTTCCCCCTTCCCAAGTGTCCTTTGGCTGCCTGAAGGAGGATCAGGTCAAAAAGGAGAGAGGACATGGTCCCATGTTCTCTGTAGTTTAGCTGCACCCATATGTTGGATGAACTCAGCTCAGACAACTACAGCTCTTTACATTTTAATTTAGTTGCCTACATGCACCAATCACCACACTGGTTTGTTTTTTAACAGCATCATCCCTTTGCATGTTCCTTGCCATTGTATTGGCTGGGACCCATCAGATCAGGCAGGGTGGGCGCACTCCAGGTCCACCCCATTAAACACTGTCATCTAGCAGGACCTATGAGCGAGCCTTTTCTGTAATAGTGCCTGCCCTTTGAAACAGCCTCCCCCAAGAGAGCCTACCCATTTAGCCTTCCAGAAGGCCATGAGATCGGCTGGCTCTTCCCCAGGCACCGGACCAGGATGGGAGTTGAACCTAACGCAGGTGTACTTGGGATGGGAGAGCTTTGGCTCCTTGGTTGTGTGCAATGGCTTTTAATTCTGTGGGATGGGGTGGGGGTTGCTTTATTTCTTTAAGTTGCTGTTGTTATCCACCCAGGTGTATATGCATCTTTTAAATATACATCTTTTAAATAAATAAATGCATTCCCCAAACATTGTAGAGATCAGATACACATGCAAGCATCCTCATCTTACTGAAATGTCTGAATCACATGCTTAGAGATCCTTATTGGGTTGATATGCCACTCCAATTACTCCTGACTCTGAGCATCTTCAACCTCCAAAGGTCATACATCAGCTATGTGGTCTCTGCACAGGGACCATTTTGCCCAACCACTCTCTTTCAGCATTTGGGAGGGGGGAATAGGGGGAGACTTATCTAAGAAGCTGTAATCTCTTTTTTACAGAGAACAGTTCACCCAAAAGGTAAGTTTTCGAACATTTTCTCCAGAAGTACTTTCAGAGAAGATCACCTCTAGAAAATTACTGACAAGTAGTAACTTCAGAAACCCTAAAAGAAAACCCAGTTCTTCAAGCTTAAATCCACAGTGAACAGAACCAAGATTTTTCTTAGAACAGGAGTTATTACGAAAGGGGCACCATTTCTCAGGTGTCTGTTATAGTTTCAATTGCTACATTAGAAAAACATAAAGACAAAGTTAAAATAATGAAACATCAGAGGCAGGAACCACAATTCTATCAAATTTGGATAGATTTTATTATCTCAATGGCAACAGACTATAATACAGCAATATTTTACATGTATGATAAATTTGTACGTGTATAGTACTGGTCTCTTTACTTATTTTTTAGTAGATTTTTTGTATGTTCTATATCTTTTTTCTTTATGCATCTTGGATTTATATTATCAAGTTACTTGATAATGTTTGTTAATCATAGTTCAGTAAAAATATATATACACAGAGATAAAATCCACTGACATCTAATGAGGTTCAGTGATCTTTCAGGCAGGTTTAAAACTCTAGAGCAGTTTCTCTCAATCTCAGCAACTTTAAGATGCATGGACTTCAACTCCCAGAATTCTCCAGCCAGTATGCTTAAAATTGCTAGGACTGAGAAACACTGCTGCAGAGACAGAATAAACTTTTGCAATATGACCCTGTAACTCCACTCAAGGGATCTTGGGTGGGCCTGTTGTTAGTGTAGGCTACTGAATATCTAGACAACAAAATAAGGTTATCTAAAGCCCCAGTAATAGATGGGAGCAAGTTCAGAGGAGATCTACCTAGATGTTGAAGATTCTGGGAAGCAAGCCATATCTCAGTCCGTTTAGCCTACAGAAAAGATGACTGAGGGGAGATATGATAGCATTTATCAAATATGAAGGGTTATCACACCAAAAATGGAGTGGATTTATTCTCTATTGCCCTAGAGGGCACAACCAGAACCAGTGATTAAAACTATGGAAGTAGGATCAGGCTGGATATCAGAAGGAATTTCCTGACTATGTGAACTGTCAGCCGATAGAAGAAGCTGCCACATGAAGTGGTGACTTCTCCTTTGGTGGAGGTCTTCAACCAAAGACTGGATGGTCATTTGCCAGAAATGCTGTAGCGAATCTTGCACTGAGCAAGAGGTTGAATTAGATGTCTGACAAGGACCCTTAAAATTCTTTAATGTTCTGCTTCTATGGATCAGGAAAGATTTTCCAGTAGGAAGCTGATATGATCATTCTTCCAAATTATCATCTCCAAGTGCTACTCCAAGTAGGATACAGGTCATAAAGCCCATTCAAAGAACACACCAGGAAGCTGCAGTGGTTGGATCCAAAGCAGACAGTGTTAGGCAAACAACTGTGACAACACTAAGTTAGGTTGGGACCACCCAGATGAGAATTGTCTTTCAACCTGCTTCCAACTGCCTATTATTTGATCTAGCAAGAATTAACTTAAAAACTACGTAATCCTTGAGTAGCCCCAATTTTAAAAAAAACCTATCACTATCTATCTGAAAGCACAATAAGGCTCCATATAATACAGCACGCTAATCATGCTTTCAAATTGGCTTTGCTTACACATAAATTTTAATCCAGGATTATCATTATTTTTAACTTTACTTGGATGAACAAGCCATAAAGGGATTTATTCACGCATAATGCTAAGGCATAATAGTTGGGTTTGTCTATGTCACACTAAGCCAACTAACAGGTAAACAGATTTTGCCTTAGCTGATATTGAATCATATCACTCATACTGTTTGTCGTGACGCTTTGTGGATATGCCTTCAAAGGCTGCAACGTTGGCACTTTCCTGATGTCATCGTACTTGCCTAGACTGCAATACAACACAATATTAGCTACTTAGGCTGCACTTCCGTATTTTTTTTAGTATCTCACAAACAATAAGATTAGAGTTGGATGCTCCTCTTCCCTGCTTATGCCTACCTCCCAACTTCATCCTTAAAGGCTTTGTTAATTCTTACAATGTGACGTTGGCAATCCCTAACTTTTTGTTGTTGTTCAGTCGTTAAGTCGTGTCCGACTCTTCGTGACCCCATGAACCATATCGCGC